AGAGAGAGAGAGAGAGAATATTAAAAAAATAGAAATGAACAAAAAGATGATCACTTCTAATGTTAACTTATTCTTTAAGATTGTCTGAAAAGTCGTGCGATTACTCGCAAATTTAAATAAAGTCAGAAAAAGATATGACAGCTTGAATGGACGAGTAATCCAGGATGACGCGGAAGTTTTGTGAATAACTTACAGATAAGGGAGCGAGCCTGTATACAAACAAGCGATGACGTACAAACTACCTAGAAACACATTTAATCTGGCTGTTTGTTTAGGCACGTTTTGAAGTCTACGCGGATTGCGGAATTCCTTTTCTATTTTAAAGGCGGTCGGTAAAGTGATAACTGGTAATAAAAACCAGATAGAATATTTAAAAGCTGCTACTGTAAAAATCATGTATGGTGTAAATAGTAAAAAGAAAAACAAAACATGAGATATAGTGTGACCCAGGACGATCGCGAGCGTCACGATTCCCGCTTTCTTGTCGCTTTCCATATCTCTCGTATTGTTACTATGCAAAATAGCCTCAGTGTTTAAGGCGAGTGGTATTGCGTAATACATTAGTTCAACCTTAGGATAACCGGTTTGCGCCATAAACGCAAATAGAACCGAGATTGGACCGAATATGACTAAGATAAGTACATCGCCTAAAGCGATATATTTTAATCCCACACCTCCTGTGTAGAGAAAGGAACAGGATAAGCCTCCAAAGTACACAAAAGCTAATGTCTCTATCCTTGCGGGAGAGGAGGTTGTCAGTATGACAAATCCCACGCAGCCCGCCAAATATAAGACAACCCCTAATGTGACCAATTCGTCCTTGGATAATAACTGATCTACCAGTATTCTGTCGTCGCTTTTTCGGCTATCAACGCCTTTTACATAGTCGTAATAAGTATTCACTACATTACCAGCGCCATGCACGCAAAGCACTGTAAATATGGTGAAGATTAACGATATCCAACTGAAGTTTGTCAAGCCAGTCAGTCGATAAGCAAGTGCTGAACCGAGAAGCGTGGGTACTAATGATGCGCTCATTGACCATGGTCGGACTGCCAGGAAATACGAAGACAACTTCATAAGCGGCGAACCTGTGGTCGATGGAGCAGGTGCTGGATGATGCACATTGTTCCCCATACAGCTATCTTCAACTTGCTCAATCGGACTTTGAATACCATTGAACATCATGTTTCTTGTATAATACTAAAAAGAAACGCCATCATTTAAAATGCAGATCTTTATTAATAAAAATTAAGAGATTTGATAAGCTATGCATCAGAAATATCAAAACTATCAAGATAGATTTCACATGAATCTAGATGTGTTATCAGAAACGATAACAAACAGTTTAAATATATTTTTTATATATTCTTTATAAACGTAAATTTCAACAGTTTTACTCTCTACACTGATACAAAATTAAGGGAAAAAAAAAATAATTATTAACCGATATAAATCGTTCGACGTCACGACACTCAAAAAGGTCGCCGGTGCATCGTACTTAACGGTATTCTAATACCACACCGCATACGCGTTGCGCCGCTCGTTTCCACGTGTAACTTCCTCGAAGATCGAGTGATTGTCAAAAGGAGTAGTGTCGTGACAGTTGTAAGAGCAACCGGAGCGGAATATAAAATTTTTGCGAGACGATTAAAGCGGAGGATTTTTCAACGGAGGTTTTTCATCGCGCGGAAGGGAGAGCAAACCCACCTGAGATTCCTTCCGAAGATAGATACGGACGAAGTTAGGTTAGGACGAAGACGCTGTTCGCGATAATCGAAGTAACGTTTTGCTTCCCGTACATATGTTGGCACATCATTTATCATCACATCGATAAATCATTCGCTCGAACGACATTAAAACACGGGCGCGCGGTACTTCGGATCCTCCTCTTCTTCCTCGACTTTCCTTCACCAGTGTCTCTATACCTGTAGGGACACGTCTGTTCTTTTTTTTTACCTGCGCCGGAGATGCCAGATGCCAGACGGAGGACGCTGCTCCACTGTGAAGTTGGTGACAGATATACACACATTAAAAAAAAATGTAACGTGAATACATGACATATGTGGCTTGCTTTTATGTATTACAGGTCGCATGTGTGATGTGTGTGTGTGTGTGTGTGT